CGTGGGTGCCAGATGGTGCCCCGTCTCTGAGAAAGGAGGTCCTCCCTTAGGTGGATGCGCCAAGGAGGGGCCGCCACAAGGAGTGTGAGCTCCGAAACCCATGTCCGGTTGGGCCAGAGGGGCGCAACAAACAAGACCTGCTTTTGCACAAGGCCTGACTTTGCAAAAGTTTGTGCGATTAGGCTCACTGGGGGTTGCTCACTGCAGTTCAGTCTGCACAGATTTAGGATTGGCCTTAACCATCTGCTCTTTTTGGGCACGATGAAATATGGGCTGTAAAACCCGGACCTCATCTTGGCTGGAGGGACCTGCTCGATTGCATCCTTCGCCAGGAGGACAGCAATCTCCTCTCGCAAGACAGGGGCGCTCTCGGGGATCACCCTCGTAAAAAAGGACACGCGTGAACTTGGGAGGACGAATAGCGAACTGAATCGCATAGCCGAGTCAGACCGTCCGTTGAGCCACAGCAACGTGCTGAGTGGCGCTAACCAAGCCAGCAGAGCGCGTGCTAATGGCACCATCGGAGCGATCACTGGCGTGCCAGTGGAGGAGCAGCTTGGGATGAGAGTGCTCATCCTGGGAAGCAGAGCGTCCCGAGGAAGAGCTGAAAATAAGAGTTTCTCTTACCTTCGTCCCTGGATCCCGCGGTGAGGCCGGAGTAAGAGAAAGGAGGGGTCCCGGCGCTGCGAGCTGGAAGGCGGAGCGTCCCAGACTGGCAGTGCTCGGGTTTGCGCATCCGGAGAGAGAGGAAACTGCTCTTTTGGAAATTGGTTGCCGCTGGCCCGGAGGCCGGCAACGATGAGTTTAGAGTCATTGAGGACTAATGTAATAATCCTCAGCCCCCAACCAAAGAAAGAGCAGGTCCCCTCTTCTCCAAATGGCCCGTCAATGGCCCGCAAATGTTTAGTTTGGCTAATTAAAGTCAGTTTTTTTTCTTTAATCCCTGCTTTTCTAAATTACTTTCATGAAGGTACAATATCAATAAGAAACATAATTGAAGTTTCGGGAACTATAGCCTGGTAATTATACACTGGCAAATTTACATAAGCTAATTGAGTTGTTAGTTTGAAATTGTTAATATGGAATGTGTATATGAATATTTGAGGCTATAATATTTTTTATTTATTTATAATTTGAAGATAATAATTATTTTAATCCTTACAGAGCCAAAAATATTAACTTTATACATCAGTGGTTATAACATGTTGACTTGTCCGTTTAGTAGTGCCATTGGAAGAACTTTACTCAATTTGCACAAAACCAAAGACCTGTATCTTAATGAACACCTTTGGAATATTCGCTGTAAGCCTATCGATGCCTTAATTAGTTTATTCTTGAGTGGGGGCCTGAATGGGAGCAAATCCCTAATGCAGCCTTCCAAGATTTTCACACCAGCAAAGGGACGGATTGACTTTGAGGGAAAATCTTTTGCTTGAGGTACTTTTGATTATATGATTCAATACAAAGTAACATTTCCTTGTTTTTTACATTACATATATATTTAAGAGCTGACCTTAATTTTGTGTTCCTCGTCTATATTCCTGAGAAATCCTGAGATATATATCATTCAGGTCAAGCCAATTCTCAGTTAACAGGTTAACCCAGTGAGTGCCTGTAGAGGTACTAGCAGGTAAGACCGGATTTAGCACATGTTCTTTAAGAGGTTCAGTTGAGGGAGCTATCTTAATGAAGAGATTGAGAGCATGGTGCTCAACAAGACATGGGGAGAGAGAGAGGAGAAGATAAAGTGGGATAATTAGGCTAAGTGAGGTTTGACCTGTGACATGGATTCAAAAAAGAAGTTTAATGTATAATGGTTATCTTTGCTAAAATAATGTTTTTTACTGTCTGCAAAGTGCTTCTGGATGTTCCAATGTTTAATGTCAGCAGGGGCAGCTCACAATCTCAAGTTTGAATCTTCGGCCAGATTATGCAGTGTATGTCTGCAAATGTTTAGACAGGCTGTTAAAGAACATTGTTTGGTGCAGCGTGTTTGATGTTTGGCCTTATAATCTGGCTAAAACTGTTTAATAGATCAAATGGACTAACTAAAACTCATTTTAGTCGCCTCACAGCAAGAAGGTTGCATGTTCATTTCTGCGTAGAGTTTGCATGGTCTCCTCATGTGCTCCAGTTTTCCCCACAATCAAAAGACATGCGGTATAAGTAAGTTGGGTAAACTAAATTGCCAGAAGCGAATGAATGTGTGTGAATTGCAGTGTGAGTGCTTCCCAGAACTGGATTGCAGCTGGAAGGGACTCTGCCACATAAAACATATACCAGAGTAAGTGGTGGATCATTCCCCTTCTAATTCAGGGACTGAGCTGAAGGATAGTAAGTGAGTGAGGAGTGATGTTCTTTGAAGTTACACATTTAGACTTTAAAACACCTTTACCTCGAAAACAACAAAATCTACTCACCATGTAGCTATGAGAAAGGACACAGTTTAAGAAATACAGTTTCAATAGTGACATAAAAACACTTTATAAAATAAAACTGTATTGTAAAAACTGAAATATTGTGAACTTTACGTTTTAAAAATAACCTAAAGACATTTGTAAATACCGTGGAGGGTTATTTAGACTTATAAATATCATATAAGTTGAAATTTAGGGGTTAGTGGCTGTCCCAAACAGTAACCCCTAAATTTAAACTTTTTAATGTGATGTTTATTTTTTAAATTTAAAATAGTAATATGGTATTGTTTTCAATGGATAGTGGAAAGAATTGAATACTGAAATGTATTTTGAATGTGAGACAGTACACCTACTTTACAACAATTCTGTAGCATGAACTTTTTTTTTACATTATATCCAAGCAGCAAATAATAAACAAAACAGTACAAAATAATAATAACATGAATGAACCTTAAATAATACAAAAGAAAATACATTACATTCAGGGGGGTCAGTCCATATAAGTTGACAAAAGCTTAGAGAACTTTAAGGCACTTTTTGTTTTTACTTGTTTTATAGATTTATGTAAAATGTTGAAATCAATTTTAAATGCTTTGAAACATGGAGAAACGTTAACAAATCTACAGTTGTGGATATAAAATTTTGCTACCATTAACATATTATTACACAGTTATTGAATTTCTTTGTTTAAAAGAAATTTAAATGGTAATTTTAATAAGACAAAATCACATTTTAGAAGAAAAGAAATTCCTCTCATCCTTCGAAAAATATGAAAAGGGATGCTAAACCATAAAGATCTTTAACAAAGCTTTGTAACCATTTTAACTTAATCCAATAACGCCAAAATCAATAACATTCAACCTCCCTTCCTCTGTTGACTTCACCAAATCATTTTTTTTTTTTATTAAATGTTGCTTATTGTTACAAATAAAATCATAATGAACTCTGTTAATTTGTTTAATACATCTTTCTGGTACACCTAACGAATATGTTGGGTAGATTAATCTTGATATTTCTTCCATTTTTGTTGATAATATTCTCCCAAAAATGTAAATATTTCTTTGTTTCCAGCTATTTAATTTTTTTTGAACAACAGAATAAATATTATTATTTTTCCTGTCACTGAGATTTTTTTGTAATAGTTATTCACAAGTATGTTATTTTGTTTTTACTGGAATATTATACAATGAATTTTGTGTATTATTGTGAAGTGTAAGAATCTCACATTTTTTCAAATTTAAATGTAACCCTGAAGTATTTGAAAACAATGATATAGCATTCTGTATTTGATTAAAGTCCTTCAAAAATAAAGTTGTATCATCCGCTATAGTTGTGTAATCACCGAGGATCTACTCAGAACATTTATTGGCTTGATATTGTCGTTATTTTTAATATACAGAGCTAATAATTCAGCAGCAAGTAAGAAAAAAAGTGGGCTGACTGGATCTCCTTGACGTATTGCCCTTCTGATATTAAATCTCTTTGTAGTACCCGATTGAAAAAAAAAAACAGCACTTGTTTGTACAACATTGAAATTATGTTAATAAATTTTGTCCCAAACCCAAAACATTGTAAAGACTGAAAAATAAAAGGGTGTTCAAGAGTATTGAAAGCTTTTAGAAAATCCAAAAATAGTTTTATACCATCATCCTCTATCAAATTTGAATAGTCTAATAAATCTAACACCATCCGAATGTTATTATGTATTAGTCGATTTGGAAAAAACCCAGATTGTGTATCACTAATAATTTTACCTATACCACCTTTAAGTCTACCAGCTATATATGAGTGAATATTTTGTAATAAATGTTAAGTAAAGTAATTGGTCTTAAATGATCAATAAGAGTGTTGTTTTTTTAGTTTAGGTATTAAAACAATATAGCCTCTAGTTAGTAGTGTATTACTTTCTAAACATTCTATTAGTGCGTTAAAGAGCATTTCTACAAGTGAGCAAGTGTTAATGCAAGTAATATTTAATATTGTTATATTATATTTCATTATTCACCAGTAGAGGGCAGGCTTGACCTTAAATTTCATTATATTTGGTTCTGATAGTAAACCATCTTTTATTTAAAATTGGAAAACATGAATCAGGCAAATTAAGCCTTATTCAGAAAACATAATTGCATGAAATATTAGCTCACAAAGATAATAAACAGTATAGGTATAAAAACATTATAGGTTTTAATATCCTCTTCTGTGAAATTGCTATACAACTGAGGATAATAATAGCAAATATAAAATGTAGAAAAATAATTATTTATTATTTCTTTTCTTCAAATGGATAGTTCACTCCAGAATGAAAATGTGCTTACTATATTTAGTTCCTCAAGTGGTTATTTATGAGTTTCCTTTATCTGTAGAAAACAAAATAAGATATTTAGAAAAATAATTAAAAACATGTAGCATTAACTTTCACGGTTGAAAAACCTTGATTTTGTGCGTTTAACATAAGTAATAAACTTGAACAGCTTTGTGGCAAGTGAAAGGTGAGTGAATAATTTTAAGATTTGGGTGAACTATTCCTTTAACTTTAACACTCCGGTCCGGTAGGGGATAGTGCACCTTCAGTTTTTTTTGCCAGCCGCCCAGACATAAAACTTGAAGAAGAAATTGGAGACAAGTCACGTGGTGAATTAATCTAAGTGAAATGTTTTATACGAACTAATTTTATTGTTAGTTTACGTCATATGATTATTTTTTATTTGTGATAGAATTACGATGTGATGGCCACTTAATACTAAAATCGGGTGCGTTCCAAATCGCTAAATTATGCACCATTGTACGCCGTTTTGTATTAGTGCGTTCACACCGTAAATTCTAGCCTGGTTGTCAATGCAGTTGTACTCGTGACAGGCACTAACGTTATATGATAATCTGGTGATTTGTTTCAATTTATTACTTATCATTCTTTTGTTACTTCATTTTGGAAACTATTTGAGTTTCCGGTAAGTTTTTTTAATTGAGACGACGCTAAACATACACTACACGGTTGAGAGTGTAAGTTAAAGTGCGTAGTGCATACCATTGTGTCATTTGTGTCCCAACTTTTGTGTTATAAAAAATTGTTCCAGTCGCAGCATAGATATGTCACGGCCTCTGTTTGGCGGTGCGTTATCAGCCGTTTTCCCTTCCAGTGTTATGGATATCAGGTAAACCAAATTAACGTTATACATAAACGTTTCGTTTGCGTGGTTGTGGATGGATTAATTGTTCAAGATTACCTGACCTTTTTTTCTCTCGTTTGTAGTGAACTGAGACAGATCCCTGATAACCAAGAAGTGTTCGCTCACTCTCAAACAGACCAGAGTATTATCATTGAACTGCTGGAGTATCAAAGCCAAGTGCAGGATGCTGACGCAGCCAGGTAACGTTAACATCTAGTTTTATAATATAAGAACAAGCGTAGATTTACCTCTTTTTTTGTAATATGTTCCTAAAAATATTTACAAAAAAAAAAAAAAAAAAAATATATATATATATATATATATATATATATATATTTGTTTGCTTTAGTAATATAAACATTGGTCCTAACACAAATTAGAACATAAAAGCTTAATTGGTCGAGCATACCAACAATAAATGACACAAAATGAAACAAAAATGGCCACAGTAGGGATGCAATGGTTCAAACTTCCCATAGTTCGCTATGCATTGAGGTAAAGTTGGTTTAATATTCACTCATTCAGACTTTCGCCCTAATAACATAATTTTCAGAAAAGTAAGCAAATTCTAAATGCCAATGACTATTAAAGTACAACATTGTTCAGTCAAATAAACAGTGCTTATGTTGTTTTCAGTCATATTTACATGCGATTTTAATCCAAATATTAAAGTACCAAGTATGGAATGTGTCAGAAGTTCTCACTGAACGAATGGGCAAATTTAAAACTAAATTTACCTCAATCTACATATTCATCGTCTACCAGACATGCTTTCATACACTGTAAAGTTGGTTATCACGCGTATTGAGGTAAAGTTGGTTTTATATATGCACATTCATTAATTTAACGTTCCCTATATTATTTACTAAGCTAATTTGAATAAAGTCTGAAATCACATGTAAATATGACATTAGCACTATTTATTTGACTGTGAACACTGTTGTACTTTGATATTCATTGGCTGCTAATATGATTTCACTATTTAGAATTTGCAAATAATATTTTTCTGAAATGATAATAAGGAGAAAGTCTAAATGCGTGAATAAAAAACAGCTTTACCTCAATTCGCTATGCATCATGGTTTTAGGGTCACATTTTCGCTACGGAAGAGTATGTTCTAAAACTACACATATGACTGTAGATTTGCATGCTTCCTCATTAATTAAATTAAAGTATGTCATTTTGTAAATTGTTGAAATGAAATGCTTAAGAAAAATAAAGGCAAACAGCTTGAGTTTCCCTTTTTCTGTTTTATAATGTGACTCAACAGTCTCAAGCAATTATGCAGATAATAATTGTCAACATATCTTAATAATTGAGCTGTTATATAGTATCAATTTATTCTGTTTACATTATGCTTGCATTACCAAAAAGACAGCAAAGCATTTTTGTGAACATTCATTCCAGAGAGCTCTGTTATCAGAGCATTACCATTTTATTAATAGAAGTTTCAGTTTTAAAGCATACTTAGTTTTAAAAGGCACATAGTTTAACCCTTTTTTATGATTTAATATTAATATTAAGGTTCTTCTTTGTGTGCCAGTCGATCTAAAAACAGCTCTATTTGGTCCACTGTTTTATGTTGTTACATTGAAAAAATATGACGGTCTATACTTACACACGTCTGTTAAAAAAGCTTAAAGTAGATTTTTCACCATAGGTGCCCTTCAAATTTAATACACTTATTGTTTTTCTATTGTGTTAGGAAAGGGTTCGAGATAAAAATTTGAAAGGTTAATACACAGTCTTCTAATTTATAATCAGTCTATTTTTCATTATTGTGTGAAATACATGTGTGTGTGTGTGTGTGTATACATATACACACACAGTATGTCACAAAAGTGAGTACACTGCTCAGATTTCTGCAAATATTTATTCATAGCTTTTCATAGGACAACACTGCAGAAACGACTCTTTGACACAATGAAAAGTAGTCAGTGTAAAGTTTGTATAGCAGTGTAAATTAATTGTCCTCTCAAAATAACTAAAAATACAGCCACTAATAGCTCAACCCCTGGCAACAAAAGTGAGTACACCCTTAAGTAAAAATGTGAAAAGTCAATATTTTGTTTGGTCACCAACATTTTCTATCATTTTCTAATTTAAAATTCTCTTGGGTATGGAGTTGACCAGAGCTTCACAGGTCGCCACTGGAATTCTTTTCCACTCCTCCATCACAACATCACTGAGGTGGTGGACATTTCACACCTTGTGCTCCGTTATCTTCTCTTTCAGGATACCCCTGAGGTGCTCTATGGGGTTTAGGTCTGGAGACATGCTTGGCCAGTACATCACCTTTACCCTCAGTTTCTTTAGCAAGCCAGTGGTCATCCTGGAGGTGTGTTGGGGTCATTATTTTGCTGGAACACTGTTCTGTAACCCAGTTTCATGAGAGAACTGCTTCAGTATGTCACAGTACATGTCAGAATTCATGTTTCCTTCAATGAACTGTAGCTCCCCAATGCCAGCAGCACTCATGCAGCCCCAGAACATGACACTCCCACCACTATGTTTGACGGTAGGCTAGACACACTTGTCTTTGAACTTACCTGGTTGCCACCACACATGCTGGACACCATCTGAACCAAATAGGTTTATCTTGGTCATGTCAGACCACAGGACATAAATCCAGTAATCCTGGTCCTTGGTTTGCATGTCTGCAGCAAATTGTTTGCGAGCTTTCTTGCGCATCATCTTTAAAACAAGTTTCCTTCTAGGACGACAACCATGCATACCAATTTGATGCAGTGTGCGGCATGCGGTCTGAGTACTGACAGGCTGAACTTGCATCCCTTCAAACTCTGCAGCAATGCTGAAAGCACTCATCCGTCTGCTTTTCAAAGACAATTTTTGGATGTGACACTGAGAACATGCACTCAGCTATTTGGGCTGAGGTCTAACATAAATAGGTCTTTTCTGAGAAGAACATGTCTTTGGATAGTCTTGGCCACTGTGCTGCAGCACAGATTGAGAGTGTTGGCCTAGGCCATCTTTATTCAAAGCAACAATTTTTTTTTTAGGTCTTCTGAGAGTTGTTTGCCATGAGGTGCCATGTTGAACTTTTAGAGACCAGGTGAAGAGAGTGGAAGAGCTTTCACGCCAAATTTAACTCACCTGCTATCTGGAGACACCTGAGACAGTGTAACACCAATGAATCACATGACACAGGGGAAGGAAAATTACTAGTTGTTGCTGAATATGTAAATTTTCACTTAAGGGTGTACTTTTGTTGCCAGGGGTTCAGCTATTATTGGTTGTACTTTTGGGGTGCTTTCACACCTAGACTTTTGTTTTGGAACCTATCTCGTTTGGCATATGTGAAACTCATTCAGGTGATCTTGGCGCGATTGAAATGAACTCTGGAGCAGATCGATTGTAGTCAGAAAGCAAAATGATCTGAGCCCGGCTATATCACAGTGTATTATGGATATGTAATACGCATATATGGCTATAAGAAGAGAGAATTATTAGTAGGGCAAGATGTCATTCCTACCGGTAAATGTGCGTTTCATGTTAACTACGAAAGTGAAAGCATGCTGAATTATTAACGAGAGCTGTTATCCGTTAGGAACATTAACCGAACTGCAGTCTAGCCCAGAGCTATGCATTAGAGAGTCTTACCTCAGATTTATTTATTTATTTATTTATTTATTTATTTATTCACCATTCAAAATAAAGCACAGCTTTCCGCTTATAATGTCTTATTGCTCATCGCCATAAATTAAAATAAGGATGCATGACAGCTGAGCGGGACTCATAAATAACCATGAAAACCATGAAACTCTGACCAATGTAAGGAAAGTTAACTCACATGTGACTTGTTTTAGCTCTTTTGGTCCGTTTAGAAACTTTGCCATGTGAAAGTGAACCGCACCAACAACAAAAAGCAACATTGTAACAATTTTAATCCCTGGTCCTGAACAACTGAATCGATTCACTGGTGTGAAAGCACTCTTAGTTATTTTTAGAGGACACTAAATTTACACTGCTATAGAAAATTTACGCCAACTACGTTTCTTTGTGTCAACGAGTCATTTCTGCAGTGTTGTCCTATGAAAAGATATAAATATTTGCAGAAATGAGAGGGGTTTAAAAAAATTGATTGTTAAAAAAGATTGTTAAAAAAATACTGAAAAACGAACCTGGGCATGTACACAAGGCAACATGTATATCGAACTCCAGTATCAAACTTTTGACCAAACAAATTTATTGTGGCGAGCACAATAAATTATTCCTTTTATAATGGGTTGGTATATTTATTAGTTAGGAGTAGAAATAACATTTGTACAATATTTTAAAGAACATATAAACAATGCACACGTTTCTTAGAAAGTTTAATATTATTATTATTATTTAACAATCATTTAATTAACAATGAGATCTTATTGCCATTGGGTTGGACAATGAAACTGAAACGATTTAGTGTTGGGGGTTTCATGGCTAAATTTGACCAGGCAGGTGACCAAACTTCATTGATTGCACATTCCACCAGTAAAGCTGGGGTCACTGGACTTTTCTCCCCATAGACTTACATTTATACGCAAGTGAATGCGTCAGACCAAAAACGCAAGGTCATGTGTCAAGTTTCGCAGGTCCCTGCGGTGCAAAATCCAAGCTTGTTGAACTCTTGATGTGCACATTTAATTCTGCATACAGTAGGGCAGCTGATGTTGCCTTTTAGACAGCTGATGTGGTGTATATATACAGTATATATATTTCTGTGTGGAGTTTGCATGTTCTCCCTGCCCTCGTGTGGCTTTCCTCCGGGTGCTCCGGTTTCCCCCACAGCTCAAAGACATGTGGTACAGGTGAATTGGGTAAGCTAAATTGTCCGTAGTGTATGAGTGTGTGTGTGTGGATGTTTCCCAGAGATGGGTTGCGGCTGGAAGGGCATCCGCTGCGTAAAAACTTGCTGGATATGTTGGTGTTTATTCCACTGTGGCGACCCCGGATTAATAAAGGGACTAAGCCTACAAGTAAATGAATATATATATATATATATTTATATATATATATATATATATATATATATATATATATATATATATATATATATATATATATATATATATATATATATATATATATATATGTGTGTGTGTGTGTGTGTATATATGTGTGTGTGTGTGTGTATATACATTAATTTATTTTCGTGTCGGCTTTGTCACTTTATTAATCCGGGGTCGCCACAGCGGAATGAACCGCCAACGCAGCGGATGCCCTTCCAGCCGCAACCCATCTCTGGGAAACATCCACACCAAATGTGCCGCAAACCTGCGTTTGAGTGAAGGTCTCGGCCGTTAGATCGCCCCCCTGGGGGCTGGCTGCAGTACAAGTCATAAAGCCCGCCTCCTCCGTGTTAATGAAGGAGACTTGAGCCCAAATAAAAAAAATTATTACACTTGCAATAAAATGTCCCGAAAGATGGTTCTGGTTGATTAAGGCACTGGTTATTGAGCTGAAATAGGTGCAAATCTTCATTTTTGTAAACGGTTTGTTTTTAGCAGTAATTTAATGCTGGGCGTGTCATCGTGATTGACAGCTGTGATTGACAGTTTCTCAAAGCAGCGCGTCTGAGCTTCGGCAGGAGACTGAAGTGTGATTATTCGATTTCTGTGTTATTTTACCATGACAAAATGAGTTCAGCAGTAAACTATAGTTTCTGACATACATGATCTGGTGGAACACTGTTTATTCGCTAAGGTCAGGGCTTTTTTCGGGCTTTATTAGTTTGCTGATACACGCCTAACCACTCAGATAGCAAAATACACTCAGGCCATCTCCGGCTAGATTCTTGCCTGCCGGAGACTTACCCCTCAGAGCTCAGACTGACTACCTCTGCTGGACCCACTCCGGATGCCTGGACTCACTGCCCGGTTCCAGCCCGAGTCAATCGAGCCAGATGCGGCGGCCGAGCGAGCTGGCGCTGCCGCATGCGAGCCGCGAGTAGGTTATGCGCTGCAGCCCGGAGCTGGCGCGATTGAATATATAAAGCCCTCATATTTGTTAACGTCATTACATCCATTTGTGTTGATAAGACAGCAAACGCATGCTGAGAAGTTCGGGGGGCGTGGTTTATTTTACATAAAGCGTTTGGTTGGAAGCTCGACTCCGCTCATTTTCGCGGCTCCTCCTCTGGCTCCATCAGACAGTCCTTCTGCGCATGTCAAGGCTCCAATTTCAGCAGTCTTTTGCGACAGTTTGTGCCCGTCAAGCAGGCATTTTGCCCTCAAGGCGTTCAATGGGAAAAGGGGCTGTCGCGTCGTCCATATTTTTTACAGTCATTGATCCACACACACACTCATACACTATGGACAATTTAGCCTACCCAATTCACCTGTACCACATGTCTTTGGACTGTGGGGGAAACTGGAGCACCCGGAGGAAACCCACGCGAAAGCAGGGAGAACATGTGAACTCCTCACAGAAATGCCAACTGAGCCGAGGTTCGAACCAGCGACCTTCTTGCTGTGAGGCGACAGCACTACCAACTGTGCCACTGCCTATATATATATATATATATATATATATATATATATATATATATATATATATATATATATATATATATATATATTAGCGCTGTCAAATTTAACGCGTTAATGTATGCGATTAATTTGAAATAATTAACGCGTTAACTGTAGGATGTTTCTGTTCCGGACAGAGCGCCTGTGTGAAATATTCTGCAGCCTATTGGTTCTTTTCTTTATTGACATTGGGCTGACCCAATCACAATCTTCCATGTTGGGCTCTGTGTACTGTAGGTGTGTATTCGTCAGAATATGCAAGAGTCACGCCTGTTTCTCACACGGTCCATTTGTGTTGATAAGACAGCAAACGCATGCTGAGAAGTTCGGGGGGCGTGGTTTATTTTACATAAAGCGTTTGGTTGGAAGCTCGACTCCGCTCATTTTCGCGGCTCCTCCTCTGGCTCCATCAGACAGTCCTTCTGCGCATGTCAAGGCTCCAATTTCAGCAGTCTTTTGCGACAGTTTGTGCCCGTCAAGCAGGCATTTTGCCCTCAAGGCGTTCAATGGGAAAAGGGGCTGTCGCGTCGTCCATATTTTTTACAGTCATTGATCCACACACACACTCATACACTATGGACAATTTAGCCTACCCAATTCACCTGTACCACATGTCTTTGGACTGTGGGGGAAACTGGAGCACCCGGAGGAAACCCACGCGAAAGCAGGGAGAACATGTGAACTCCTCACAGAAATGCCAACTGAGCCGAGGTTCGAACCAGCGACCTTCTTGCTGTGAGGCGACAGCACTACCAACTGTGCCACTGCCTATATATATATATATATATATATATATATATATATATATATATATATATATATTAGCGCTGTCAAATTTAACGCGTTAATGTATGCGATTAATTTGAAATAATTAACGCGTTAACTGTAGGATGTTTCTGTTCCGGACAGAGCGCCTGTGTGAAATATTCTGCAGCCTATTGGTTCTTTTCTTTATTGACATTGGGCTGACCCAATCACAATCTTCCATGTTGGGCTCTGTGTACTGTAGGTGTGTATTCGTCAGAATATGCAAGAGTCACGCCTGTTTCTCACACGGGTCCGCCCCGCTGGAGAGCAGCAGCGGGGCACAGATCAATATATTCCAGTCTATTCTATCTAGTTACCTATCTGTCCTTATACATATACTTTTTTTTAAACTTTTAATCTGCACCACGGCCGCGGCAACTTCCTCCTGCTGTTTCCTGAACCTGCAAGTCTTTATTTTACAAATTATAAAGAATGTCTGCTTCTCAATTTCTATGAGGGGTGTCATTTATGTATTTTAAGATGCACTCGGTCAGAGGACAAGCGCAGGAGATATCATGACAGTGTTTTTGATCGTCAGCTTGATGTAGGCTTATAGTGACAATAATATTTATACAATATGGTTAATATAATGATATTTATACATGACCAAACTAGTGTGCAACTTTTTTTTACATTTATTTTTGTAGTTCTGCCCAAACAAATATTTGTTGCATTTTTTAATTGTTTAAGTTCATTTGATTGACAATGTAAAAGCTGTTAGCTACATTTGATGTTTTATTGTTGAGTTAAACATGTTTTTTAAGGGTCTCTGATACATTACTTTTATTATTTATCTTTATTTTATTAATCAACATTAACTGTGTGCGTCAGCAGGCAGTTTTTGTTATGCTCATTATTACTTTCAAAACTTGCGTTAAAGCGGGAAACATGTCAAACTTACTGAAACATTAGAGGCCGCTTGCTGAAAGGCAGGGGAATGCAAATGCTGAAATTTGACAGCTCGCGACTTCATCTGGCACTTCATTTACATAGACATCAATACTCCAATTTTAATAAGATTAAGATAATACTCTTATTAAGAGTCTACCTTGTTAAAACAGTGATTTTTTGATTACCTTAAAGGATCACAGAGTCACGAAATGCAGAGGTTTTTCTTTCCATTCGCCATGCAGTATCAAATTCCATTAAAACAAAAGTCAAAAGTTAAAAATGAAACATATGAAATTAGATTAAACTCTGGAGAAAAGGCTGGAGAGCCTGGTAATGCGACATTAATTATTTTATACTGAAATATGCATATTATTGGTCTTATCCATATTTCTTGGCATGTTGAACACACCATGGCCACAACAGAAAATAAAAAAACTGCAACTGCGTACATTTTTTTTTACGCATTAATTTTTTCAAATTAATCGTATGTGTTAATGCACTTATTTTGACAGCACTAATATATATATATATATTTATATATATATATTTTTTTTAATGAGCAATATCACATGAGTAGCAGTGCAAATTATCTGTATATCTGTATTATCTGTATAACCTTATGCTTAGTGTCCCACTCGTGATGATATATTGCCATATCGCACTGCTAAGCTGTAATATTATGTTTGTCCAACAGTTCGGCGGCATAGTGTATACTATAAAAGAAAACCGAACACAGAAAGTGTCAAAAATAATTTTGTACAAGGAACTACATTCTTCCGCCATTCATTCACAATCTGCAGCTGACAGTCAAAACAGCAGAAACCATTGCTTAAAAACACGTCACTTTAGAACTAGTATTTGAATGATTCTCTAGCATAATATCTTAAGTGATAACATATTTATTTTGCTCACATTTTAAAATTATAAGGCTAAACAGCATGAAATGCTATCAGTCTACAGAGAATATAGAATATATATTATATATATTTCTATAATATTTATTATAGAATAAAAAAAAACACGTGTCAAGCCATGAGAACCGAACCGAAAACAGTGTTAAAAAACCGAGGTATGTATTGAACTGTGGGCTAACTGTATTGTTGCATCCCTAATATATATATATATATATATATTAGTCATTAATACACATTATTGTCTTGTATGGACCTATTTCTAGCAACTTTTTGGTTTTTAAATTGACATGCATGGAGTAATATAATAATAATTTTCAGCAGTCATTTCTCCTGTCTTTAATGTCACATGATCATTCATATTGGGTTAAGAATATAAATGTAGGTGTGGATAAACCGTTTTCTGTGTCTGTGCTGTAATAGGTATCACTTTGAAGACGTGGCTGGCAGTAACAAGGCGATAGAGAATGGCACATGGGAGGTCAGAGTGGTGGAACAGGTTCCCCAGTCAGAGATCTCTATGCAGGAATGCAGCTCTGCATGGCTGCTTTCTGGAGCTCAGCTTGTTTCTAAATTCAATGAGGAGGTATGTGGTTCATTTTACAACCTGTAGCACTATATTCGTAGTGGGGGTAATAAGTAGTAAAATGTAACTATTTAGCCCACAACAAGGGTTTTACATTTATAAATACCTAAAACAATTGTCTGTTAAAATAGGAAATAGGCTTACATAAACAATGTCATTTTAATAAAGAGAGTAAAAAATAAAGTAATTTTTTTGTTGTTATTATTGTAAATAAAATACAAATAAATCAATCCCTTAACTAGATCTGTGGTAAGATCCGCATATAGTGTTTTTGACCTCAGTAATTTCCTCATCCAGCACTGATGATTCACATGCTTTTTGTGGGAGAGTTGGGTTGTTTTGTATTGCAAAACCTTAGTTGATCAACGGTAGAAAAATGTAATTTGCATGAATGGTTTGGGTTTTTTTGGATTGCAAAATCTGAGTTAAACAAATGTAAAAAATCTGACACTAGTCTAATTTGTTAAATGTTATTGAACATGAATTTCAGCAGCTTTTTAAATATACATATTTTTTACAGGCAAAGAACACTGTGAATGTCCATCAGTGCTTGTTTCGCCTACCGCAGTTCACCACTGACATCTTAATGACGTTCAACGATCCTGTTTTTATCAAGTGAGTTGGTTAAACATACATTGACCTTCCTCTATGTTTCCTTTTAGATGGAGAATAAACTAGATGCCTTAATTTAAATTAGGGCTGGGTAATAATTTGATATCGATAATTATCACGATATATATTTTGTCTATAAACTGATAATGACAGTTCGCTAATTGTTCAATAGTATGTACATACTATGCGTAACACTGCGCAGGCATTTTGCAGTCTGCCCTTCCGGATGCCGCACGCAGTACAAGTGTACAGCCATAAAGTGTTAGTTGCACTTGGAGGGGTAAGAACAAATAAGGTAAAAAAGGACAAGAAACGTGACTAAACATCAGTTATCTGGAGCTACTTAGTTTTTTGCAATCTGACAAAAAATAGGGCAACATGCACTGCAAATTGCAGACGACTTGTGTCATTAAAAGCAGGCAATACCACAAACCTGTGCTCCGTCCCAATCAGCATACTATGCGTTCTAAATAGTATTTGAAAATAGAATTAGTATGTCCCAAACCATAGTATGTTGAAAAGAGTATGCCAGAGGTTCCCGGATGGTTTGCTATTTCCGGTAGAACCTGTGTAGAACCTTCCATACTCTAACCGCTTAAATTGCCCACAATACATTGCGCGTTGGACGTAAATTCGATCAGAACTACAAATGCGTGTGAAAAGTGTAAATAAACTACAAACATGATGGACGCGCCAGACCAACCGTCAAGTAGAGAGGCTTTGGTAAAGATGTTTGAATGACTTTTAGTCATTATCTAGCCCACTGGAAAATATTTTAATTGCATTATCTGTGTTATATTTCATCTGCAACAACAATACTGAACTTATATAAAGACGGGTTTGGACGTCAAAACGTCTGAATGCATAATTACCCAAAGACCTGAGGAGATTTCTCTGCATGAAAGACTCATGAATGGCAGATTATCCTGCTGCTACTTCTCCAATAAAGTAGGAAATTAAATACAACAGAAATGTGGATGGTGTGTGGATGATTGACGTGGCATAACTAAGCAACACAACGATCTGTTAAAGAGGAAGTAGTATGAAGTAGTCCTAACGCTTGCATACTTTTCTGTTGCACACTCAAAAGTATAAACTTTTCCTTCACAAAAAAAGTACATACTTTTAGGGTGTAGTACAAGTATGCAAATTGGGACGCAGCAATGTTCATTATTTAAAATACTCCACTGATGAAGATACAGATAAAATTACAGACCCAATCAAGTTTTGGTAAACCAGCGCAACTACCCAGCAATTTGATGTCATCATTTTCGAAAGCCGTGCCTTACGAGAACCTCACCCAAAGGATGTTTTGTTTTCAAGCTTATGTTTCCTTTTTAATATTAAGATATTTTCTTTGGACTTTTTAATACATATCGTCCCTCAACGACAGTAAAAGAACCAGCCTTTATGAAGGACATAATCACCGAGGAGAAATGCTCAAGACATAATCTTTAAAATAATGATATTAAAAATACAGCAAATATATGACAGACATTTTCAAAAGCAGTGAATCATAAATTAAATCCTTATTTTCCATGGAGCGAAGCATCATCCACCCACAGTTGTTTAAGGCGGGCACAAACTAAAAATATATACACTTTATATATTTTTCTTTGAAAATGAATCTTTTTGCAATGAATTTCTTTATGTATAATGTGTTACTTAATTCTAATGTACAAGAAGAACGCATAGCATCTGAGTTTTCATGGTTTAATTTTAATTCATTAACGAAGCACGGTTTGAGCAGCATGAGCTGGACAGTCTTTACAAGCTATTGGCAGCACTGATAGTTACCTCGGAAGAATAAACTGGTTATTTATTCCCAGAAAGAGCTCACAAACCAGTTGAGTGAATGGAGAGTCCTTGCATGACTTTTATGATTTATAAAATGAGAGGATGCATAGGCCTATTCATGCCAGTCTGTGAGGTAAATTTAAAACAGCCTCGGATATAACCCGAGATCTGCGCATAAGTTTTTTATGCATCCCGCTATATAAAATATCAGCAGGGTGCCTGCATAAATGAAGTAACCTGCACACATTGGAGATTTAATGCATGGGCGCGTCTCACAGCGCAAAGCATAACTAAACTTTTAAATGTTCATGCTTTTAATCAATCATCAATAAGGTCTATTTATTAAAGGGTTATTGAGAATCAATCGATCATCAAGTATTTGTTAGCATCCCTAAATAAAATAGCCTATACATTAAGGGAAATCTTACCCAAAATTCACCATACTCGCCTTTAAAAGGAGAGATCATCCAAAACTGAACATTCTGTGATCATTTACTCACCTTTTACTTGTTCCACACCTGTTTTATTTATTTTGATGTTGAACAATAATATCCAATAACTTGTAGGTAATGTCTTTGGTTGTTTAAAACTTAAACAGTAAATGCTGAATAAAGATTGTTCTTTTTGTTTATTATTTTAATATTTATATTGTCAGACAGCTAAAACATTTCACAAAATGTGTTAAATCAGCTGCACAAAGCAATTTTATCATGCTGAAAATCCCATAAAATTGATATACAAAGATTTGACATTTATTGTGATAATTATCGATATCGACTGATATGAAAAAAAATTATGGTAATAATTTTTTTTGCCATATTGCCCATCCCTAATTTAAGTAATTATAAATTTCTAATAGTAGTATACAAAGATGCTGAAATACAGGCCACATTATAATGTTCAGTGGGAGGGTTTGATTTCAAATAATTTCTTTCAGTCCCCTCAGCAGCAGTGCCGCTGGTAATATGGAAGCTATACCATGGACACTACAAGACTTCCAGGGTGTTCTGCAGTCCTTGCGTCTACTCGACTCTGGAGTGTTCGGGTAGTTGCTTAATGGGGTCTAAATTAAAAAAAAAACTAAAAAAAAAAAAAAAAACCTTTTACATTAATGTATTTTAAAAGCTAGACTCTCTGAGATTTTTGTTTCTTTTCTTTGCATTTGTTTGATTCATAGATTTGTTATGTAAATAGAGAATCTTGAAATGTAAAAGAGAAATAAAAGATACTTATTTTTTAATAAGAAAGAAGTGGAAAATAGTTTTTACTCAGTGTCCCAAGTATATGCTGATTCATTCAGTACGAGTTTTCCTAAGCTTATCAAAGGTATGTATTCACCATGAAACTAATGTTTAACAACTTAACTAAAAATCTAGTTTGAATCTCTGGTTTAACAAACTTTAACAACTTACCTTAAACGCCCTTAGGGTTAAAGCATTCTTAGGTTCTTTCACAATGTACTAAAGGTTTGATTATTACAATGACATTCAGATGTGTCCAAACACTTTTTGAGGATAAGATTATCTTTGACATTTGTTTCTTAAAGACAGTATGATGCAGTGTTATTGACAGGTATATAGAAAATACAAGGCATTCTTTAAAAATAATTTATTATCAAATTATATATATATAGTCACATACCCAATATGTACCTATATATCTCTTAGTAAATATATTAATGAAGATAAGTTACTTTTGTTTTACAAAAGCCTCAACATTCAGTACAGCTCATTTAAATTAAGGCAAATGGTGACTTGAGTTAATCTCCCTTTAAATAAATTTGTATTCTACTATACTAATATTCCCTTCAAATAATGTCAATGTTAAATCACTGGAAATTGTTTAATCAATAATGAGTAATTCTACTTGTTTCTTAATTTTATGTTCCAAATTTGAAACGTATAGGGCATTCTAAAAGACACTAAACAAGATAACATTATTTTACTTGCACTGTTTTTCTCACCATTTTCTCATAGTTACTTCAAACTTTTCAGAAATACATCTATTCTTCCCATCATGATCAATTATTAGCAGCTATTAAGAAAGACTTTATCTGAAAACTAAACAATTTCAATCCTTGTATATTCATACAATGAAACTAAACTAAGGTTAAAACTAAAAAACTAAGGTTAAAAGTCATTAAAATAAGTCTTAAATTAATGGTTCTGTCTGTTGTTTAGCATTATCTTGTTTGGTCGAAGACTAAATTTCTTTTTAAGTTATGTATGCATCTTGCTTGAAAGATTGTATTAATTTCCAAAAATACTGTCTTGTAAAGTCTTCTT